CTGCACAGATCTGGCTCTGGACCAAGGGAATAAAACAATGTTTCCTTGCTCTGGACGTTGGGTTCGATGCCAGCCCCCAGCCGAAGAACGAGCTCAACAGTCGCGATTTTATCCCGAGATGCGACTGTGGGCTTTACTGATCTGCGTCGTCTCGCTTGCGGAAGCCCGTCCAAATCTGCGCCTCAACCACGCATCGCCGTTCTACGAGCGCGTCACGGCCATGCTCTCCGCGCTCTACGACGTTTCCACGATCGGCGAAGCGACCCACGACGATGCGTTTGGGTACTGAAGCAACTATACCAAGACGAGGCCTATGTATTTATAAACGACACAAATGCGTTCAACCAGAAATGATGGCTGGTGCTTGTTTCGTACACGTTGTGTGCATAGACGCAACAAGTATTAATAATCGCGGCGGGGGACGACGGGACGGCGTGATTACAAAGCGGCAGTTAGCAATCCAAGCATTGTTTATGACGCGTCGTGAAGCCTATCTCGGTCGCTCTCAGCGTAGTGCATTGCAGCTACACCGACCGCGTCGACAGCAACGACTTGGTAGCGCCTGAAAACCGCAACGAGGAAATTGAAGGCCGACTACATATCGAGCAATCGCGTCTTTAGTGGTAATCAAAGTCGACGGTTTCTACGAGCTTAGAGGCGCCGAACGCCTGAAACTCCATTTTTGCAGCCGCATGGACGTCTACGTTGTCGTGGCGCCGACGCCCGCGGCCACCGAAGGCATCGCGGCGCTCCTGGCCTCCAGTACGTCAGGCCGTTGCGATTTACCTAACGTGTGCCAGGCGCGGCCATCCGCATCACAGCTCTCTCGGGCGCGGTGCTCACGCTGGACGAAGTACGCTTCACGTTTTGTTCGGTAGACGCCTAACGACTGCGTAGATACGCCGCCACGCCGTGCAGCAGCAGGAAGCGGTACACACCCTTCGCCATATGTACCAGTTAGCATCATGAACGACTAGTGTTCCTGGGTCGTGCGAAGAGCCAACGACGAGCTCGACGCGTTATTGCCGACCGCGCCGTTGCGGCTACGCGTAGGCACTTTGTCGTGACGACATTAGCGTCATTGGGCACATGGGTGTAGGAGCTCGAAGCCGCCTTGGACGAAGCGAACACCCGCTGCCACTCGATGCAGCTCGAGTTTGCCCAGTTCCAGCAAGACGTCCAGGAGCTCCAGGCGCAATACGCAAAGTACATCAACTCACTCTCAAGAAGGTGTTTCTTATTGTGCACACTAGAGTCTCGGAGGTGCACCAGCGCGTGCTCTGGGAGTATCTCCCTGCGCACGATCCGTCCATGACCAACATCCCGAGTATCTCGTACAGCGTTGAAGAAAGCGTCCGCACCATTGGCAAGTATTCGATCCAAGCGACGATCGGCGAGGGCCAGTACGCGTCCGTGTTTGCGTGTTGCGTGCGGCCAGACGACGAGCCGTCGTTCACACCGTCGCCACCGCTCGCTGTCAAGGTCATCGAGAAGGCCAAGCTCTTGGATGTGCTTGCGCTCCAGCGCATCCAGATGGAAATCGCGGCGCTCTCAGACCCGCTGCTGCGGCACCCGAGCGTCCTCTTCTTGCGCGACGTCATCCACACACCAAAGTACATGTACTTGGTGACGGACCGCGGCGGCAAAGACCTTTTCGAGTACTTTGGCGCGCATGAAAGTACGTCGTCGTGTGAGTGGACTGCGGACCTCCACCGCGTGCGTAGACGGCATCTCGGAGGCGACAGCGAGCCACCTCATGTTCAAGATCGTGGACGCAATCCGGCACTTGCACACGCACGGGTACTGCCACCGCGACCTCAAGCCGTACGTGGCGCTGCCGCGTGTCCCGCATCATGGTGCGTCGTAGCGAAAACATTTTGTTTGCGCCCGAGTCGGCCAGCGTCAAGATTGTCGACTTTGGCTTGTGCTCCCGCGTCGCCCGAGGAAGGAAGACGCTCTTGAGCGACTTTTGCGGAAGCCCCGGGTTCTTTGCTCCCGAGATTCTCCTCGCTGAGGCGTACGATGGGTTCAAGGCCGATGTGTGGAGCCTCGGCTGCATTCTGCTTGAGGTATTGTACATATCCGTTCTTTCCAGCAATCACGAACTGTTCTGCGGCGATCTAGCTCCTGCTCGGCAATGCCTTCTTCTTGTCGGTCTGGATGACGGCGTACTCGCTCGACGTCCTCGGCGACCGCGCGCTGTACCGCGACACCCTCCATGCGGTACGAGATCGCTCGGCGTTGTATCGAGCTTCAAGGGTGCTAGAACCTCGCCAAGCTGCGAGAAGCCCTCGACGCACCGCCCATGCAGCTCTACTCGGGACCCATGAAGGAGCT